ATAAATAAGTGATATTTATGTCACAAAATAAATCATACTGCAGAATTCCAAGATGAACACTATCTAGTAAAATTGTCTTTTCTCTTTACTCTCATGGACTTTCCATTTCAAACTAATTGTTTTAAAAATTAGACACATAATGATAACATATATATTTCCACAAGGCTCATATGACTTTATTAAGTAGGCTTGATAAATATAACTATTCATGTCTTAATGAAGAAAATACCAAATTGTAGAAAATTCAGGATGACCTCTCTTCAATCCAAAATTTTTATTCCTCTATTCCCGTAGATATTTCTCCTTTAAGAAACTTGTATTAAAAAATAGACTCAGAATGGAAGCCTAAAAATTTAGTGTGGACCATAAAACATTCTGTTAAGTATAAAAATAAAATTATGACTTCCAAGTTATGGAAATAGCTTTCGTTGCAGAAAACAGGCATCCTTCAATAAATTCATCATATCTTTTAAACCACAAGGACTTTCTTGATGAAACTTTTTTTGTTTGAAGGGGATTCAATTGTTTGAGTCACAATCCAATTTCAGCTAGAAATAAAATCATATGATTAGTGAGAAAAATCACGGAACTCAATGGACAATCCCTGGATTTTGCAGGGTTAGAACTGATACCCTTCATTGTTGAGTCCATAACTCTCAATTCCCATAGAATCTCCCACTGAAATTTTGTAGGTACGTCCTACTTTTAAAGACACAAAATATCACTGAAGTATGTAATAGAAAAATTCCTCATTATCTTCTTCATGTTATTACTCCAAAATAGCTCAGAATACTCATTATACAGAGTGCCTATTCGGTAATTGAATATTTCAATAATTCTTAACCGTGGGAGTATTTCTTGACTACAAATGCCATTAGCTTTCTTATATCTCATTCTCAAGCTTGATCTAAACTCAATAAAGAGAAACAACAATTAATAACATCAAATATCAATGGCTCTGATACCAATGAAAGAAAGACCTATGTGATCTTTTACTGGGGAATAATATATATATATTTTTTATATCACCCCTTTTATTTTGGAAAAAGATTACTTATATGTAGTCTTATTAGAACAACGATATACTTCAAAATAAAATCAACATGAGAATAACACTAAGATCTTAAAACTTGATGCCATTGAAATAACTATGCACTATGTTTCAGAATAAAAAACAAAAATTGCAAGAAATAAAAGAGAAGAGTGTCGAAGATTACCTCAACCAGGTTTATTACACTCCACACGGAGTCACCACCATCCGATGGCGTAGGATCAATGATCTTGCTTCAATATCAAACTGGGAAAACAACTTTAACCCAAACCACACCAATGGAATATGAACCTATTTGATCACAAACTCAAACCCTAGGTGAATTCCCTTAGCAAGGTAGTTTGAGAGAGATAGATTCTCTTTTTGCTAACCCTAAAAACCCTTGGCCATAAATACATAGTTGAGAGATGGGAGAGAGAAGAACTCTATAGCCTAATCTCTTAGCCCTTTTTTACAATGTGGGAGAGAGAGATCCAACATAAGAGAAATATAGAAAGATAAGGTGTAGAGATTTTAGGTAGTGACAATCATTTTTTTATAGGCTTGAACAAGATTTGGGTTTCTTAAGGTTTTTCTTGGCTTGCCTTTTCTTGTGAGATTGAACATAGACTGTCGATAAAGGGTGACTTGTGGGGTGAGAGATCTGAGTCATCTATTCTATAGATGAGTCATCAACATTCTGGAAGGTGCATGAACCACTATCCCCGTTTCCTAAACCATTTTCCCATCAATAGAAAATAAGTTAAATTAATTTTAATTAAATACTGTGCATTACATAAAATAACACATCTCTACACATATTTTCCATAAAATCTATCAAAGATATATCAAGTTAATATCTACTTCCATATTAAGTCAATCTATAGTCAATACATACTCAATCCATAATTTGACCGCATATCACAATTTAAAGTTACCAAAACATAAAGTCACATGGACCACAAAACAGAACTTTTCATAAAATAGAACGCAGTAAGAAGTGGGGCGTGCCACCCACGGGGAGGCACATGTGGGCCCCACCTTTTGAAAACTTGGTAGGCCCATATGCACAATGGGCCGCCATTAATTTTTTTTTCTGCATTTTAAAATTAACAAAATAATTTCTAGTGAGTATTAAAATATTGTAAAGTTAATATCTTTAATTTTATAAATCCAAAAGTTATAAAATAAAATATCCAAAGATTTATAAAAATTCAAATAATAATTCTAAAATAATCACATCATAAAAAAAATATAATTAAATTAATTTGATGGGAAATTGATCATATGGTTTAAGAATTGAATCAACAATTATGGGGCACTCCACTTTCAACTGTGGACTACGGACCACACTTGCTTTATCAGACCGACCCGATGTTTCCCATGACCTACAGTCCAAGCAAGGGCTCATTAGTGGGTCACCAAATTTTGGCCGATGAGCCAAGGGATTGCAATCCTAATCGGTGGATTACAAATCCTTTCCTAGAGACGAGTCCAGGTCACCAAGACCTGACGCGATCACAGCTCAATGGCTCATAGGGGGATCTCTCGCACATGCATGCGCTTCACAATAAAAGGTGGATTTCTGACTTTCCCGAATGATCTATCGATATTCATGCTGTGTGATGGCACATAGATGAGGTTTTGGGCCCCTTCTCTGTAGGCCATGATCACATACAAAGGTCACACAGTCTCTCGGCTCATTTATCCGGGCATGTTCTCCGACCTCATTAAAGGCTAACCCATGAACCCTTTTCGATTTGTTCTTCATGCCCAGGTAACATGGGTTTTTTCAAACCAACTAGCCTAGATCATCAAGCACAGTCTGGTATCTGCAAATATCGTTTGCACGGTA